TTTTTTTTTTTAATAATTATTTATTTATACATACAAGAAGAGGGCTGTAGGCCAGAGATGGTGGTGTGAGTGGTGAGAGGATTCACTAGAGACAAAGTGGGGAGCAGAACAGGAAGTGTATGGAAATACACAGCTGAGGGGAGCAAAGGGGGAGACAGGAGAGGTGGGTCAGTTGCTTCATAGTGATGTCTTTAACCCCTGTGCTACCAGGGGGGCCCTTAAATTCTTGAGATGTAAGACTTAGTATGCCTTTCACCATGATCTAACCCAAGTCCCTGGTCCAAGTATAAGATCAGTTTTTATAGTTAGTTTGTCCATTGTCTCAGTTACAAAGTACTGAAATTTTTGACTTTGACTCATTAAATATGTTTCAGGTTTTTTGTGATCTAGTTTCCTTGGTGAATTCTTATTAACAGTCTGTTTTCTGTTTATTTTAAAGTAAAAAGTAATGCTATGTAGCTTGTATTATGTTTAACATTGAATTTTAAAAAACCTTTCATATTCATGCAGTCCCTTTTCTATTATTATATATCATCCAAAATGTTTTCAATAGGAGTAACAAAGACATAATGCTCAACAAAAAGACTGTTTTTGTGTGTGTTTATTCTCATTAAACAGCATGTCCAGAGATAGGGGGTACCTGTTGAATTGGTTAAATCACTGGCTTAATGTTATCCTCAAGGACTTGATGCTTTTCACCTGTCCTTTCTGTAGTCTCAGTGTTTTGACTTTTTTCCTTAAGACTTGTCATCTAGGTCCCTCCCTGGTGATGCAGTGGGTTAAAGCACAGCACTCTGAAGCTATCTGCAGCCACTGTAGCACAAGTTTGATCCCTGGCCATGGAGGGGACCCACGTGGTACAGCAGACTCTCTTGTCTTCTTGTTGCTCCCCTCAACAGTGTATTTCAGTCAGTCCACCTGTTCTCCCCACTTTGTCTCTAGTGACTCATCACACCTGCCCACCCCCACCCATAACTCTGGCCTGTACCCCAGTTCTTGTATGCATAAATTAATAAACTTTTAGAAAAAAACAAAGACTTGTCATCTAATGGTCACAAGATTATCACAGTCCAAGTGTCACAAAAGATAGAAGAGAAAGTATATTTTCCTTGTGTCTCTGCTTGTGATCAAAGGAAGAATTTCCCAGAAGCCTGTGTTTCTTACTTCTCAGTGGCTAGAATCACCCAACACTTCTATT